AAAAATAGATTGTATGAGAAAATAAAGAAGGTTACAATATTGGTGAAATATGAGAAGAGTAAAAATCCCTGTTTCCTCCTAACTACTCACTCACCAAAAGATGCATTCTGAGAACCTACTGGGTATAGCTGGATTGGTCCTTAAAAAATTTTACTAAGAAGAAAAAGTAATACGATGCCAGCTGTTGTGGTACACACCTATAACTCCACCAGCTGAGGAGGGGGATTCAAGTTTGTGATCAGCTTGAATAACTAATACAGACCCTGTCTCAAAAGAAAAGAGTAACAAGAAAGATAGGCAGTATTTAATACTGAACAATCTGTTCGCAAGTTTGAGGGTTGATCTGCATTGCCAACTTAATTGGATTTAGAGTCACCCAGGAGATACATTTCTGGATGTATATGTGAAGGTCTCTCAAATTTTTAATGAAAGTGAGAATATCCTTGAATATTGTGAATATGGATGGCACCCTTTCATGAGTCTGGGTTTTGGAATGAGTATACAAAGAAAACAGAGAAAGCCAGTAGATCGGTGTTTCTCAACCTGTGGGTCATGGACCCTGTGGGGGTTGAATGACCCTTTCACAGGGGTCACATCAGCTATCCTGCATAGCAGATATTTACGTTATGATTCATAACAATAGCAAAATTACAGTTTTGAAGTAGAAACTAAATACTTTTATGGTTGTGGGGGTCAGCGCAGCATGAGGAACTGAATTAAAGGATCATAGTATTAGGAAGGATGAGAAGCACTGCTCTAGGGCGTACGACTCATCTTCCTCTCAGTCTCTACTAAGATGCTAACGAGCCACACAACGTCTGCCGCCCCAAAGCCACCTTCCACCATGCCTTCTCAGTCAAGATGGACTGTATCCCCCTCTAACTGTAAGCCAAAAGAACCCTCTCACCACTTAAGTAGCTTCTTCTCAGGCATTTGTTTAGAGCAATGAGAAAAGTCATCAATATACATGACAATTTAAACTTCCCTGAGGATCTTCTGTTCCATTAAAAACCTTGAGTCTGTAGCAAGCAGTCTCCAGATTCCAGCACAGAAGCACACACAAGCCAAGATGCATCCCATGACTGCCACTCACAACAGCAGTCTGTCTCTTTTCAGGTTCAGGGCTTCCTTCTCTGCTTCTGGATCCCTGAGCTTTCTACACCTTCATGCATCTCAGTGGATTTTTATTTCTAATAATGTTAGCACAACCAAAATCACTGTGCTTGGTTTTGTTTTTTTTTAAAGCAAAAACTCACCGTATGTGAGGAACAGCTCAGTGGTGGGTAGAGAACAGACACTTTATTTACTTCTGCTTTAAGATTGGATAAAATTCTCAGAAAAAGACATACGGCCTACATAATTTTACTGACTTATATGTCAATAAAGAGCCCTTTTGGACTTATTGAATTCTAGACCTAGATCTTAGATTCTTAACAGCTCTTATATTTAGCTGATGTGGGATTCCCCTTGGTATGCTGTGAATACCATTGGTTAATAAAGAAACTGTCTTGGGCCTGTGCAGAGGGGGGCTGGGGCAGCAGTGAGAAAGCTAAACTGAATGCTGGGAGAAAGAAGGCAGAGTCAGAGAGAAGTCGTGTAGCCCCACCGGAGGCAGATGCCAGGACTTTAGCCTGTATGCCACAACCACGTGGTGATACACAGAGTAATAGAAATGGGTTATATTAATATGTAAGAGTTAGCCAATAAGAAGCTAGAGCTATAATGGACCAAGTCATGATTTAATTAATACAGTTTCTGTGTGGTTATTTCAGTTCTTGGTGGCCAGGATGAACAAGCAGTCTCCTACAACACTTAACATTAAGAAAATTATTGCTATCATTCGTGATACAGGGATTGAATTTTGGGGCCTTGCACAGGCTGGTCTGGTATATTATCACTAGGTTATATGCACCCTATTTTCTTTTAAGTTTTCTCAATAAAATTCAAGTTAATTCAATAAAATTCAAAATAAGTTACAAAATAGGGTTTTGATTTACTGCTACCTAGGCAGGCTTTGAATTTGCAATCCTCCGGTCCAAGCCTTCCAAGAAGCAGGGATTGCAGGCCTGCTTACTAAGCCTGGCATTTTTAGCATATTTATGATGGTATGAGTGTCAGACTGGATATAACTGGTACATCTCAGAGCGCCCAGAGTCTCCTCTGGAGCTACTGTTCCTGGGAGCCCAAGACACATCTTAAAACCTCATCAAACATTCATCAGACTTGGATACTAAACATTTATCATATGCCCAAGTCCTTTAGTGTCTATTGCTTAGGTGCTGACATCCTCTAATACAAATAGGCTTTGAACCTAGAACCCTCACAGGTAATGATGGTGTACTACCTTCCAGGGAAAATGTTACTGAGTTCAAAGACTCACACAAACCCTCTCACTTATATTATTCGTTAAACCGTGGTAAAATTGCTAACCATGATAAAAAACCTTAGAAAGGGAAAGACTCATGCGTCTCTCCTGCTCCATCTTTTCCCATTAACAGCTTCTGGGTCCTCAGATCCCTAACCCTCTGCAGAACTCTCTTGTTCACAATACTTCTCTGCCTGGTATCCTGAGCAGATATCATCCAGCAAAGGCAGTAACTGCCAGAAGTAGAAATTCTTACTCAGGATCCCCAAGGAGCTGGAGGGTCATGACCTCCTACAGTGTGAGTCAGAAATTCCGAGGAAGTGCTCTGGGTCATGTGCCCTATCTCAGGGTGAAAATTACTCTTTTTGATGAACCTTGCAAGACTCTGGGCTCTAGGGTACATAATGGCACATGCTGTTACATTGGCATCATGTCAGAAAGCTGTGTCTCCACCCAACTTAGACAAAAGTCTCCCAGACAGATGATGTCAGTGGAAATTGAGAGGAGACTCATTAAAATCTGTGCTCTCAATGGCTGAGAAAACATTTCCCGGAATCCTCCAGAACTGATGATGTGAACTTAGACTGTGTAGTCATTCTGGAGAGAAAATTGGCAGTACATGGTGAAATTATGAGAGCCTACACCCTGTGACCTAGCAACTCCTCTCTGTAGTCTACACCTCAGAAGAGCTCAGGAATAGTCAATGAAGAGATATATACAGGGTTGGTCACTGCAGCTCACACAAGGGAATAGTAGCCGTGACAGTGGTACTTAGGCTAGCTAACACCTACTAGATATTTATGTTTTAAGTATTTTGCATATCCTCAATACTTGAAGTAGATATCCTCCTGAACATTGTTTTAGAAATGAAGGCACTGAAGATTGGCAATGCTGAGTAAATAGGCTGAGTTTATACAACTGGAAAGTGGGTCACAATGACAGGCAATCTGGCTCTGATGATGTGGCACATGTGGACACACACGAGAGAGAAAGAGAGAGAGAGAGAGAGAGAGAGAGAGAGAGAGAGAGAGAGAGAGAGAGAATACAGCACCATAGTGTTTTAAATGTAGTACTTATGCAGAGGCACCCAGCCCATTAGTGAGTCCTCATGAACTGTCACAAGTGGGAGCCAGGATGAAACAGACATACATAAAGCACAAAGAAATAAAACAAGAAAGTGTCTTGCCTAGAAGGGAGATAACTGAATGCCTGGAATTAAGGCGCTGCTTGATTCTGCTCAGTTCTCCCGACATTCATGACCCTCTCCCCACACAGTTGCCTCCGTACTATTAGAGCCAAAGCTTTGTCTAGCCTTTCGGGAGGATCAGGGGAGACACATTCACTCTCATTCCCTTCCTTGAGGCTCCATCTGGGGAACAGAATCTTTTAGCTATATGCATGCTCCCTGATGTTTTGCTTTACTTTGAAGTGTTAAAGTCATTTCATCCCATTCCATAGGTGAGAAGAAAAAAAGTTGGGAAAGGAAGCAACCTTCATATTACCAACAGATCACCTTTGCAGCATAGCACAGTAATGGGCCAGGCAGCCACTGGTTTCCCAGAAACAGAGGCACTGTTCTAGCAGTGTAGGACGAGCCATCCAAACAAGGGTGATAATAACATCTTCTAGAGTTGTTTGCTATAGAGCATCATTGCAAGCATTGGAGAATATTATTTATTTACACATCTTCTTTTTCTAGAGGCAGCTGACCACAACACTTAGCATTGTTTACACTTTTGAACAATATGCTTGGCCATAAATAAACACCTCTTGATCTTTTCTGACTGCACATCTAAAAAGATGAATGTTGATCAAGTATGTTTATTGTTCACATACCTGCAAATGGTTGTTCTTCATGTAAAATTCATTCATGGCTAATGTGACTACATGGGTTCCAAGGAATAATTCAATAACACACTTTTTAATGCCAAATGACCAATGACTTCGTGAAGTTATCTCCCCTCCCCGCCCTTATCTCCCCTCTTCTATCTTCTCCTTTCCTTCACAGTCCCTTTGAGCCCTGACACATCAGAGATGGAGTGCTCGTAAAACAGGAGCAGTCACATCTCCCCAACTCTCAACTCCAGACTTGGCTTCTTAGTAGTGGGCAGTCCAGACCTTAGACCAGGAACAGATCACCGTCATAACTAACAGATGTAAATAAAACACACCAGAACTTTAAAAATCAGTTTTTTAATTAAAAAATTAGTATAAAAACATAATGGAATTCTGTTAATGATGTATTAATTGGGTACCCTCATATCTATAAAATGCAAAGGCTCTCTGATGATCCAACAAAAGAGTTGGATTTTTGTCAGGGAACTTGAACAGGAATATTAAACAACAATAGATTTGTTAAAATCAATTTATATTAGGTAACTTTGCTTGTCAGGGTTAGAGCAAAGGGAACTCCCTCATGCTGGCTTGTTTAGGGAACTGGCAATAGCCTCTCTTCTAAATGCCCAGAGATCTTATAAACAAAGAGGCCAGGTTTCAACCTTAGAGGCTCATTTAGAGTTCACTCATTAGAGCTAAGTTCAGAAGGTCAGTCCAAATCAATGATAGTCTGCCTTAGTTTTCTATTGTTGTACCTAAATACTACATAGTGGAATAAAAGCCTTGCCTGCTCATGTACCTGAAGGTTGAGTTGGTCAGTGTTGAGAGATAATACTTGCTGAGGTCTTTTCTTGCTGTTGGAGACTTTGCAGAGTAGTGAGATGTCACAGGACATCATATGAACAGCCAGGCACATCTACAAGAAATGGGGACAAACTGACTTTCATACCAGTCTCAAGGTAGCTGATAACTCATAAACGGACTAATCCATTCATGAGAGCAGAGTCCTTACAGTACAATGATGTCTTAAAGATCCCAGCCGGTCCCATCTCTTAATACCTTGTAATACAGATAAGATTTCTGCATGATCTTTGAGCAGGACATCCAAACTATAGTGGTCGCCTGTAAATCTAATTTAACAACGTAAGTGGTAAGGGGCACTATTTACTGTGTGCCAATTAATGTGTGTTTGCCATGTGCCAACCACAGTGATAAATGCTTTTTATGTCCTCTCTCATTAATTTCACCAGAAACCTACCAGCACATTTTTAGATAAACAGGTGACATTCAAAGGGGCCAAGGTCATACAGCCATAAAGCTGCATAACTTAAGATTCAAGTTAGAGTTGACATGGCCCAAAGTTGGTTTTCTGAACATATCATATCATATCATAACACATCACATCAATATCATACATATTATATCATAGAGAAGCGTCAAACCTTCACATTAGCTTTCGGGTCACGGTGGGAACCCCACACCTCTCTAGCACAGGAAGGCCACTTATCATTCTTCCTTGATTGACTGGTCAATTTCTGAGCAAGTTACTCCAAAGTGTGCATTCAAAGGGAGAGCATCTTTTGTAGCTTGTACTATAATGGGTCCTGATTAGGTTTTTTTCTCTGAGAAATCTTTGCTATCTCAAACAGACCAATTCCTGTTCCTCCTTAATCATGGCCTTCCTACTGGTCCACTGCTGCTTCCTGTTGGTTATGACTCTGTGCACTGCAGGGTGCACAGTGAGTAACTGGTCTTCCATGTGGCCAGGGTTGAGAACTGACCTCATGAATCAAACCTGGTGCCTGATGGACTGAAAGACATGAAACGGGATCTCTGAAACTGCATAGGAATTCAGGCTGAGAAGGAAGAGAAAATTAAAAACAATGATTTGCCATAATAGAAAAAGATTTTCTATTTCTACTGCACAAATAGACACAAAGATCTGATACCAGGCTTCCTGTGTCACAGCAAACCACATGGGTGGAAGCAGAAAGCTCCTTGTAAATCCATTTTATAGTCACCTCGCACATTACAATTTCCCAGAAAGAGTTATTAAGAGGGCAAGTGCAAGAAAGTACATTTTATAATTATATAAACTGAGACTAAGCAGCCAATGACTTGTTAACATTTAATCAGTCATTTAATACAGCTGACCTAGGAGCAGAATTTGAGCATGAAAATTTATATTTCATTACCTTATTACTGGACTTTTCCATTTCTACAGAAAGGTCATTAATATTGAAATCAATGTCCTATGGTAAAATTTTTTAGGTACCATCCATTTTTTTGTTTCTAGTTTTGGAGGCAGATGAAAAAAATTGTCTTTGGAGAATAGATGACAGTAAGAATGGGAGTATTTAAAATCTTATTGAAATACGACCGAACAGAAATCTTAAGTATTCCACTCAAGGGACTCTCACAAAGAGAATAGCTCGTGAATCTTCTAGATCAGGAAACTGATGATTATTTACCTTCTAGCAGCTTCTTTTATGCTAGCAACTAAGTTATCTATAAGGCAGACCAACGTTGAAATTAATGCCTGCAAAATGAGGTTTTCAGGGGTAATGGAAGACGGTTCCTTGAGGGGAGCTTTTAGATGGGGTGATTCAAATACGGCCTGGTATATGAACATATTTAGGACAGTGTTGTGACTGGGGAGGGGGTCAGGACAGGAGGAAGATGGCTCAAAGAACAAGGCTGAGTCTGCTGTTAGCTCCATAGGAGGGAGGGTAGGGAACCTGGCAAAGGTGGGAGTGACTCATTGTCAGAAGAGCCCCCAAGACTGTTGCTACTTCTTATCAAACTTGCTTCTGAACTGACCTCACAGGAGGTCTTCCAAGTCACCCCCACAAACACCACTGAGCTCTCTCCTATACTCTGTGAGGTTCCAATGGTGATGAGACACAAGAGCATAGCAGACAACCCAGTTGAGGAGAGTTAGAGGAGCCTTCTGTGGCTTGAGCTCAGCTGTCCAGCTCCAAGCTGGTTGAGAGCAGGCCAGGCAAAGGAACCACATACTCATTCCTTGCCCAATTTTAGGAGAACTGAGAAGTAGATGTGGTTGAAATAGAGCCTTCTTTTTTTTCTTTTATTGAAAATAGATTCTCTTCTCATATAACATATCCTGATTACAGGTTCCCCTCCCTCTACTCCTCCCAGTTCCTCCCATCTCACTTCCCATCCGGATCTACTCCCTTTTTGTGTCTCATTAGAAAAGTACAGTCTTCTAAGAGATAACAACCAAACATAAGAAAATAAAATACAATAAGATGAAACAAAACCATCACATTGAGGCTGGATAAAGAAAACCCAACAGAAAATGAACTCCAAGAAGAGGCACAAGTGTCGGAGGTCCAGTCATTCACACACTCAGGAATCCTACACAAAACTAAACTAAAAGCTATCATGCATACACAGAGGGACCTGGTGCAGACCCATGTAGGCACTGTGCTTGCTGATTCAGTCTCTGTGAGCTCATGTGAGGTTTACTTAGTTGATACGGAAGGCCTTGTTCTCTTGGTGTCCTCCATCCCCTCTGGCTCCTACACGCTTTCCACCTCCTCTTCTGTGGGGTTCCTAGAGCTCTGACCGGAGAGATTTGATGGGGACTCCCATTTAGAGCTGTGAGTTCCAAGAACACTCTCCCTGAGTAATGTCTGGCTGTGGGGGAATAGACCCTTGTTTGGGAAAGTGGATGTGTTCTTTGTAGTCAATGTGATGTGGGTGGCATCAAAGCTGAAAGTCCAAGTTTCCTCATGTTTTGAATATAACTGCTTATCTAACTGGAAACTGGAGATTTATCCACACAAGATAGCCTTTTTAATCTAAATATTGCAAAGCATAAACTTTAAAACTACAAAGTTGTGTATATTAATCACCTCATTAATTACGTTTTTAAGCCCCAAAAAGAAACTGAGGTCTTAGTTTGCTCTAGACTTTTCTGAGAACAGCTATCTGAACTGATGTTTCTCACAGAGCTTCTTTCAGAACAAGGTAACATTCTATGACAATTAGACCAGAGGAGGCAACTAGGAACTTTTCAGTGGCAGACAAATGTGTACATAGGGTGCGGTGTGTTGGTGGTTGTAGTGGGGATGTATATGAAAGTTTGGCAGTGTTATGAAAAGATCTAGCCTGCTTTTCACAATCACCAAACTTGTCCCCACTCTTCCCTCCCAGTTTCCTTCAAACCTCAAGTGCCATCTAGTTCTTGCCTTGGGTCCAGATTCTTATGCCAAAGATTGTCTTAGTTTTCCCAGCAGATAAAACAAAGCACATTAGACTATGACATTTTAAAGCAACAGAAATTTATTGATCACAGTCCTGGAAATTGAGCCACCCAAAGCCAAGGAGCCATAAATTGACTGTTGGTGAGAGGTTGTTTTTCAAAGAGGGCGTCATCATTGTGGTCTCACTCAAGAGCCCTTTGTCTTCTTTTCGTCATTTTGATAGTGAATCTAGTATTTAATGGTTCTGTTTTTTTCCAACCTCCCTTAGTCCATTTATGAGATACCTTCCCTCATTATCTAATCACTTTCTGAAGACCCCTACCTCTTCAGTATCACATTCAGGCTTAGAGGTCAACAGAGGAACTGATTCAGAGCACAGACAGTTTATGCAGTATCACTGCTGTTTCTTTCACCCCGTCCATCCTCCTCTTTCTCCCCTCACCTCTCCCTTCTTTTTCCTTTTATACAATAAACTTTGAAAAGATTTATTTATTTGTGTTTATGTGTATGAGTTTTTTCCTATATGGATACATGCATGAGAACCACATGTGCGTGCGTGGTGCCAGCGGAGGTGAGAAGAGGGTATCAGATTTGCTGGAACTACAGTGACAGACAGTTGTGAGATGCCCAGTGGGTGCTGGGAACCAAACCCAGGTCCTCTAGTAGAGCAATCAGTGCTCTTAACCACACACCACAACTTTGAAACACTTTAACGAATCATTTAAAGAAATATTCTGTTATTTTAAAGTTTATGAAATAATATCAGCCTGTACTGAAACCAGCGGAAAGTCCAAATAACCCCAAATTGCTTTTTCTTCATTACTTTGCCATCAACTTCAGAGGTTCCCTAGACAAGTAATATATTCTTTAGTTTTGTTGTAGATATGGATTATGGCCTACGTTTTTCAAGAACTTCACCAGATTTAAAACCAGTTGAAATCACTCACCCTTCATCTGGGTTTTATAAGAGGCCAATGGGTGACCATGTTGAAATCTGAGGGCCTAGGTTGTACCCTCAAAGTGTAGTCACAGTACTTTGAGATGTCACATAAAAAGCTGCATAAAGAACACAGGAATTTGATTATTTCAACATATACTTCTCCAGTTACCTTTTCTCACTCCTCAGATCACTAGGCTTTATTTCTAATAATATTCTCAAGTCATTTCATCTATCTTGTCTCTTCCTCGTCCTCACCTTTAGCTGCCTTGTGAATGATACCATTTAGGGCGCTCTCTCTGTGTGTGTGTGTGTGTGCGTGTGTGTGTGTGTGTGTGTGTGAGAGAGAGAGAGAGAGAGAGAGAGAGAGAGAGAGAGAGAGACAGAGAGACAGAGAGACAGAGAGAGAAAGAGAGGAGAGAGAGAGAGAGAGAATGTGCGTGTTGCCTTTTGATTGTTAATTCTTTTTGCTGACTTCAAGAGCTAAGAGGTAGGTCTTGTGGACATAGGAATGAACTGCCTCCTTTCAAGATGGAGAGTGAGGCACAACAGGAATGGCAGAGGCTCAGAGAGAAGGTTTGTGAAAGAAAGCCTAGAACTACAACACAGAGAGTCAGAAGTCTGAATGGGAGAGCAAAATGAGAGATCCGGGAGTATAGCGTTCACTCAACCCATAACAGTGGGAAGTCCCAAAATGTCACTAAAGATAAACATTAACTCCCAGCTTTGGAGCTATATGGAAACATCAGTGATTACTCTTCCAATCACTCTACGATGTGAACGTGATTAGATTCGTTGTTCAGTTCCCATTTGGTAAGCACATTATCAAATCTAACAACTTTACACTTGGTCACACATTTAGAACTGTACTCGAGTCCAGCTCTCCTTGACTCAAATGGTCATGTTCTTGTCAAAAAAGTCTACTAACTTCTAAAATTGTTTCCGAACCTTTGGGTCTCTGGATAGGTGTGTTGTCAGTGGGATGTGGGCTCTTTAGCTCTATGTGGATATCAACCACGAATAGGCAAGCTGTAGCTCCTTTCCTGCCAGGAACTGAGAACTTCAGATGCTGGTCCCCTCTATCCCTAGCATTCCAGCTTAGACTTTAAGTGCCAGCCTTCTAGAATCTATCAGTTTGTGCTACAGCTCTGAGTATAGAGTGTCAGTTAGTATAGTTTCTGGGATGGTGGAACTAGTAATTTTGGTGGCTTTCTGGTATTCTCTTGGGCTTGTAGTATATCTGCCATTTCGGGCCTTAGTAGCTTTTTACTTTCTGCATCCTAAACGCTCCTCTGTGTTTTCCCTTCTCAGCCTTAACTTGAGGTTCCCACGATATCTGCTCTTTAGCCCTCTTCTAGCTATTGTTGGTTTTACTTGGATGACTGTTAGCCCAGGGGCTGTCTGCTCTTCATGCTACCAGCTCAGTCTGCTTCAGTGAACAATAAAGAGCACAGTAGACAATAGAGTCATTCCGATGTGGCATTATTGAGTCATAATACTGCAGCACAGGAGGGCAATATCCGGGAGAGAGGTCTATAGGAGTGACCCCAGGGAAGGGAGGACAAGGCTGATAATACAGGCAGTCACACGGACACATAGCCTCTCACTAATTGGTCACCCACTTTCTGCTTAGTCACTCTGGTCTGCAGAAACAATAGGTCCGCTGCCCTGATGATCATGGATCAAGGAGGAGTTCCTTCCTCACTGTATTGACAGCTGCAGAAATCCTAAAGAAGCAACGAGTAGGGTCATGTGGAATAGTTAGAGCCATGATCGTATGGGGGCTTTCTGAAACTGGAATGTGTGTGGGACTGAATTCTTCGGGGCTATCACAAGGAATCTGGTATGGCCCCGACTGAAACAAAGTCACCCAAAGCAAACCCCAAGCTTGCAACAGTAGCCATGGTGTATCATTGGTGCTTCCTCTGGCTGTCATAAAGATTTCTGAGAATGTCTGATGTTAAATGGGAGACTCTTGAGTAGCCATGAGGAGGTTAAAGCAGCCAGAGCTGCCATATTGACAACTGGAGACCACTTGCTTGATGGACAGTTTTACATTCTGATACAAAGGTCAGGAGAAGAGTGTCTCACAGCTCTGGGAAAGAGGGAGAAAACAAATGCCTTTTGCGTTCTATCCACCTGCACTGAACCATCTCCACACTCTGTGTACTGACTCACACACAAACAGCCTTTGGAACCACACTCATAGATTCCCCAGCCCCTGAAGAAACACATTGCCAGTGCTTGGATATTCCTTAATCCACCCGAATTCATTACTTAAAAGTAACTGTCTAAACAGTTGCTCATTATAGCTTATTTAGGGGTATTGCTACAAATCCTCCAGAGGAAGGAAATAACTGACATGAAGGGTTCTTAATCATGGAGGCTGTACAGTGGTCAGCAAAACAGCAGCTGAAGAGCTGTCCTGAAACGGTAACGTCTAAGGAAGTTCCAGGGGAAAGGGCTGCAGAAACAGGGAAATCGGGTTTAATGTCAGGAACTCACCTTCTTGGTCTCAGTTTTCGGCTGTTTTTCTCATCTTTATCCTCTTCATATATAAATTGAGGTCACAGCCATCTTATTACAACCTCTTGCTGGGTGATTCTTGAGTGATTACAATTTTGTGGTGGTTACATCTAAAGCGTATCTAAAGGAAAAAAAACTCGTCTGGATACTCTAAAACTTAGGTTTGGGTCAGACCCACTGATATGAAAATACTGGTACTGGGGGCTGGGTGAAGCAAACGATACCAGGCAGGTACGCGTGAGCATGCTATTGTTTTCTCTGAGACGGGGTTTCTCTATGTAGCCCTTGCTGTCCTCAACTCACTCTGTAGAGCAAGCTGTTCCTGTAGCACTCTAAAGATTTACCTACCTCTGTCTCCCAAGGGCTGGGAGTAAAGGCATGTACCATTACTGCCTAGACTGAGCATGCTAATTTTTGAAGATCCATTTCTACACATTACAGTCACCCCGCCAACTTTTACCATTCTCTGTTGTTCCATCAATGTTATATTTTATAGGTTGCCTTCAAGTAATTTTATTCTGCCAGTGCTAGTTTGGCCTTCGATGTGTGATACTTAAGGAAGCAATGACAACCCTATTCTAGTATTTTGCTGCGTGGTTCTTGGTAACACGAAAGAACGGCAATGGAGAGGACCCCTTTTGCCTTGATGCTCACTGGTTTCTCTACAACTAACGAGATTAGATGTAAAATCCCTACTCAGGTCTGCAGGTGAGATTACTAACTCTGAGGAAAATATGCAGAGTACCCTGAGAATGCACAGTGCTTGAGAATGTGTTCTAAGTTTCATCAGGTACATGTCAAAGCTCCATGTCACCCACATCAGGAATATTGCTACTGTTTCAGGAGTAATGGGGGTGTCTGGTGTGTGCCTTAGAGGAAGAAAGTGATTCTGGTCTGACTAGTATCTCATGGTTTTGTGACTCTGAAGAAAAACAATCCTAAGTAATGAATCTACAAGTGGTACCTTGGAAGCCTTCTGAGGTATGAAAAAAGGCCAAATAAGAAAAACTGAGACTAAGGAAGACTTAAGAAGCTTATTTTGGAGACAAAAAGCATTGCTTTAGAAATAAATTCAAAGGTAGCTTCCCGTCGGGTATACCAAAATGGAAATCCCATGGACAGAGGGATTCATATGAAAGGGTATCCTTAGCTGGCAGAATCTGTGGCCTAGAGATCAAAGGCCGCCGAGCAATTAAATGAGGAAGAGAACAGGAGGAATTTTGGCCCCAACAGTAGTATGAGAAGCAATCAAGAGCGTGTCTTGGTCCAGCCTGGCAAGCAAGTTTATGTAGGAATCTGAACCGAGACTGTAAACTGGCTTTACCCTGTGGGTACCTCCTCACTTTTTCCACTCTCTGAAACTTATGCCCTTGGCTTCTGCTGCCAGTTGGGCCTTGAATCAGGCCAGACACCAAGCAATAGGGTTCTCACTTTCTCGCTTTCTTTCCCTTCTCCTTTTTCCCTTCTCTTTTCTTCTTTTCCTGCTGCTTTTCCTCCCCAAACAGCAATCTCCCAGCCTTGACCTCATTTCCCCCATGCCAGTAGCACAGCAGTGGAACCCCGCTCCTCCTAAACCTTGCTTTCAAGATTTTCTCTTCTGCAAACACAGGTAGTAAACCTTTCCTAGTGTTTCTTGAAAACTGAGGACCACAAATCCAGGAACTTTTTTAAAAAGCCGTTTTTGTTCCCCTCTCTTGTTCACCCATTGGCTTTCAGAGGTCACAGCACTGAGCCTGCATTGGACGGATCTGTTCAGACAATGGCAGCTGAAGATTCAGAAAACTAGGAAGAAAAAGGCAGAGGTGCAACCCCTGAAGGAAAAGAATGAAGCCTGGGACGAGGGAGGGGATTTGAGCATTTTAAAATCCCTCCTTTTGGGCACAGTTCATTTGGTGACTTTGATTTTTGTGACTCTGGGTAGTGTAGAGGTCTTGTTTTAGTGAATTATCCATTAAATCCACATTGGCAGAAACAGTAGGTAAAACGCAGTGCCTTCTTTAGGTTAAGAGGTAGGGGGTGCTCACAGGGAACTTTCCAGTGTTTCCGGGGTGCGAACAGCAAGTGTTTGCTAAAGCCAACACATTTCCCATCTTTGATCCTTTCTTGTCTTTTGGGAAGCCTGTGATGCTGATTGCTTGCTAAGGTGGCCAGCGAGAGGCTTGTTTTGAGTTCTACATTCGCTTACTAGTGTCTGGCCACGAGAATCAAAGGGAGTCGGAACCAGCCAAGATTCTGCTACATACCACATGGAATCATTTCAAAGAGTCAGGGCAGGCATGCCTTAACTCCTGCCAGCTTTCTGTACTGTCATCTTTCGTATGCTGGGTTCACACCAAAGGCGGAGGAAATGATGGCATTTCCTTTAACTGTGGGATCTGAGGAGATACTTTTGTTGATGTTGCAATTACTCATCTATGCTAAACATGCGAGTGTCCAGCAGCACGACAGCACAAAATCTGCTGCTGCACTGGTGTCTTTGATCCGTTGCGTAAGAGCCGGTTATTAGATTACAGTTTGGAGAGTAGTGCTGCAGCGCGTCTCTTTTGATATCCCTGGCTCCGAGCTGGATTCCTGCTTTTCGATAGAAACTCAAAGTTTTCTTAAATTTGTAATTAAATCTGCTATTTTACTTAACTCTAGCATGTAACAAGTCTAAACCCAAACAAATAAATGCAAAGGAAGTCCATGGTGCAGCGGTCAGTGCTCCTTCCTCCCCAACAGATGTGTTCATGTCTAAAGGTTATCCTGTGTTATCCTTGGGCCCCAGAATTCAATAACACCAAAAGGAAGACAGAGGCTAGGCTATAAATGATGCATCTATACCGATGCTTGCTCCCACCGTCAAACAGACGCCCCCAGGACCTCCATTGTTCATGTTTTCATTTCAAAATTGTAGCTTTCAGAATGCTGAAATAATGAATTTCTGTTGCTTCACACAACAGAGTTTGTAGTAATTAATTATGGCAGCCCCAGAATCAGGTATCCAATCTCTTTAAAAAAAATATCCAGCAAAAACAATTCTCAGTTCACCTTGTGTAGGGGACTAGGCATGTGGGGTAGGTGGAATACGGACCAAATCTAATGCAGAGAGTGATTCACTGTTGTCGGGGGCCCCACATTTGTTGGGCTCCAGCCTCGACAGGTTTGTGTGTTCCAGGGTGGGGGTGTGTTTATTAGAAATGTTAGGCAGAAGAAACAGAGACACAAAAGAAAAGACAGAGACACAGGATAGAGTCGGGGGGGCAACCTAATGAACACTGAATCTGCCCACATTTTTTTTCCATAGACTTCCATCCAAAGAGAAGGGGGAGAACAAAAGACCTTTTTACCAAAATGCAAGGAACAAATAAAGTGATCACCTTCTCAAATACCCAAATCATCAAGTAATCACACCCTAGATCAAAACATACTATTAGTAGCCATACCCTGGGTCAAACCTTGAAGGAGAAAGAATAGGCCTGAACTCTCTGACCTCTGGTCAAAGTGGAACAAATCCACATCTGTGGATCCCAACACACTCCTAAAAATTCACTGAACAAGGAAGCCCTGTTTCAAGTTCCAATCCAGTGTCAGTCTGGTGAGTCCCTCTTTCTCCCTAGACTTCTGCTTTTCCGCTACAGAATGGAGATGTTCTTCCCATCCCAGGCAGTGAGCTTGGAGGAGTGAATGTGAGAGAGAACAGGAGGACCACAATTTAAAGTCTGACTAGTAGAACACGGGATACAGTACAGAATGTTGATGTCCAGCGAGTCTGCAGTCCCTATGTGGTTTTCGAGTTGGGACATCCACAATCCAGATAGAATCAGACCAAACAAAGCTTGTGTGTCATTAGATTTTTATGAGGACTTAACAATCTTCAAATGGTGACAGAGCTGTGCCAGCTGACTGGCTGTAGATAAATCAGTATAAAAATGTGACCGAGGGCATTATACACTAGGAAAAGGATCTGTTCTGAAAATTATCAATTTCAAGATGTGTGCTCATATGAAAGGTGGACCTTTGCCATCAGTCCCATGAACTGAGCCATTCTTGGAGTTCCACAGGTAGTTCAAGTCCATGCAACAGCCCTAAGATGTGACTGCAATGGTGTAGACATTTCCTTTACCTTATTATAAAAGCTTATGTCAGAAACTTTCCTGTCTATTCAATGTTGTGGATCAGCTGTGGAGATGGGACTCCCAAGATGGGCACAGGCTCATAGTGTCTAGTGCCTGGAGAAAACAATTCTGGGTAAACAGAGTCAGAGCTTTTCTTTTGTCACAACTAACTGGTCCCAAATAAAGAAACAAAAGCTTATCTTAATTGTAAAAATGTTTGGCCTATAGCTCAGGCTTATTACTAATCATCTTTTACAACTTAAATTGACTCATTTCTATTCATCGACATTTTGCCACATGAATTCCTGGCTTTACCTGTTCTCTAGCACATCTTGTGACTGGTTTGCATCTCTACCTGGCTCCACCCTTTTTCTCTCTGTGTTTTCAGTCTGACTTTCCCACCTAACCTTATTCTGCCTTGCTATAGGCCAAAGCAGCTTCTTTATTAATCAATGAGAACAATACATAGTCACAGCATACAGAAGGATTATCCCATAGAAATTCTGAGTCCCTAGGAGGGCTGTAGAAGCTATTTCGTTTGTCTTTTAATAAACAAAGTTTGTTTGAAGTTCAGAGAGTAAAGAAGCTATACTGATCAGCTTGATAGACCAGGCAGTGGTGACACATACCTTCAATCTCCATAGTCATGCTAATTTGCCATAGAAACTGGGTGGTAGTGGTACAGAACTTAAATCCCAGCCCTAGAGAGGAATATAAGATGGGAGGAGACAGCTCGTACACAGAATTTCATTCTGAGATCTCTAGAGGCAGAATTGCCATTTCAGACTGAGATAGAAGTAAGAGCCAGTGACAGAAGGTTTGTCTTTCTGCCCTTCAAGTTGAACCTCAATTTCTGTCCCTGGATTTTTATTAATTGTGCTACAGAGGGCTTTGTTTCTATTTTTGTCCGGGTGATAGAACATTGTTCAGTGGTTAGATCGCCTATGAAGATTCTGTTAGATTTGACCCATGAGCAGACAATTGCAAATGCATGAAAACCCAAGAAACAGGTATGGATTATTTC